CCCTTGATCAACTTTTCTTTTATTCCACTCGGGGCTCGACCCAAGGTTGTTGGTTCAAAATCACTTTTCTCCTTGCTTACTTTCTTCTTCATGCATCTTTGTTTTCTCGTTCAGTTCCCTTTGAATTTGCTGGACACGGTAGTGGCTGGCTGCCTTGGATATGCCTCATTGAGTGTTTACCAAATAGTTTAAGTAAATCCAAACCAAACAAAAATACCAATTTTCAATTTGGTTCGATTTGATTTGATTGAACCAAATCAGTTTGCCCAGTCCTCATTTGAACAATTCGGATATGAAAAAAAAATTAAAGTTGTTTTTCTTTATTGATTCTTTCCTTTTGTAAATAAATTTCTAGTTAAAATTAATAGAATTTTAGGAAATTTTTATTGGTTTTACAAATATGTCATTTTCAAATGTATATTAGAAAACACTACTACCTCCGGCGTCCTCCGCTCCTCAGATCACAAAATGAGAGAGTTGCAGGACAATTAAGAAAAGCAGAGTTGGTCAGTATTAATTTAGTAAGTATGTATAAAGTAAGAATTAATTACAATTATTCAAATATTATCAAATGATATGAAAACAATGAGTTATACTACCTCCGTTTTTTTTAAATCTTCACAGTTTGACTTCACACAAAATAAGGAAAGAAATTTGACTTTACTGTAGAGTACACTGTTAAGGCACTGTTTGACACTGTTTGGCACTGTTTGGCACTGTAGATACATTGTTTGGCACTTTTGAGGCACTGTTTGGCACTGTTTGGCACTGTTTTGATGCAGATTTCTTTGCAAAAAAAGGAAATAAGGAAGTGTGAAGTTTATTTTAGACCGTCCCAAAAAGGAAAGTGTGAAGTTTATTAAAAACCGGAGGGAGTATTTAATTATGTACTTTTTAAAGACATAATAATACTTTTTAAGCGTGGTTGCACGAGAGTATTCTTGAATGGGTGACTCGTGATAAGATTTTTAGGACGCGCACCAATGGGAAAAAAGTGCAAGTAAATGCTTGTGTTGATTTTTGAAGAATGTACTAGAGGTTTGAAGAGTATCTATGAGTAACTACTTTGGACCCTATAGAGTCGGGGTGTTACACCTATGCCCGACATCCGTCACCACTTGCAACCCCATTTCCAACGCAGCCAAGCTTTGCCGACTGCAACATTTCCTTATAGCGTTCTCGCTACCCCGCCTTCCCACATCGCTGCCAGAGAAGGTCGTTGTCGCATCCCCGCAAACTGTCCTTCGCCGAAAATGTGTTAACCTCCTCCTTTTCTTCTCCTTCTACCCCGAGTCTTAACATGACATCAGAGTCAAACTGATCCATAGTCAAGGTGTAGGCCCATATGAAAAGTGAAGATGATTATAAAAAATGACAACGATGAACCGATGAAAAAGTGAATGATGGCACAATTCAAACGAAGTGTCTGCTTGTGAGGAGCGGCGTTGATATATTTCTCACACCCATAAGTTATGAAATCGTGAACACCAATATAAAGATATCATGTTACTCTATAGTGTGAATCATATTTTAGAATGGAACACTAAGTCGTAACAAATCTACGCACATTGCTTTTTGGGTAGTTTTTTCATCAATCACCTTATTTAAACAACTTATTGAATTAATTAATATTAACTGAGGAATTAATAAATTGATAACATTGCATAAATAAGAAATGGATATGAAGGGAGGTTGTGAATACAAATTTAAGGGAACATGAATTAAGAGCGTGTTTGATAACACTAAGATTGGTTGAATCTGCTGAAATGATGAAATTCTGATTGAAGTGGTTGAATTGGCTAATTTTGTTGATTATGGTTGTTCCCTTTCTAATGTAGGGTTCGTTTCTCCACCAATCTTTGTGCGGCTTTTGCTTTTCTAATTTTGATTTGTTCTTTGGAATTGGTTTTGTCTTAGGCGAAGCTTGTTCGTATATAATGGCTTATGATTTAGCTTTGCTTTGGGCGCTCAAAGGTGATTCAAGCGTGTTCCAGGAACTTGTCGATCACTACCGTAGCTATGGGAAGACACGCACAAAGTGATCGGCGTTGACAAGGCCGGTTCTGAGGGGTGCAATAGGGGCGACCGCCCTAGGCCCGAATATATAGAGAAAGAAACATAGGCCCAATTTGTTTCTGCATATATAGTTTGACCAGGCTTCTTTTTTAATTAGGTCTAATGTTTATTTTTTGTTGAAAATAAAACACAAGTAAATTGTCTTAAACGAAGTCGAGTTTAAAAAAAATATATACATTAATTTTAAGTAGGGTCAGTTGTAGTTTTTAAAGCAACACAATTGTTGTTGAATCAATAAAAGACATATCTCTTTAGTCTTCAGATCTCTTTAACTTTTAATGTTTTTTATTCCTTTTAAGCGATTATTGATGATTTCGCTTTGCATTGTTCTGCCAGAAACATTTTGAATGATATTTTTTCTTTTTATCTAGTACTTGTGTTGTTACTTTTGCCCAAATATGTAATTTAAATAATCGTAAAGTCAATTTTGCCTTTTATTTTATGAGCTTTATTCGATATTTTGTTATTATTCATATTGTAAAGAAATATGACTAGTAGCTATAGTAGTAACTAATTTTTTTTTTATTTACAAAAATATGACTGGTGACTATAGTAGTAACTAAATCATAGTAACTTATGTTCAATTTTTATACTTAAGTAACCATAACACTATATTTTAGTAACTAGTATTAGTTATATTTGTGTAAATAAGTTTTGTTTTGGTAACATTTTTTAAAAACCATATTTTAAATATGTATAGTTTGCGGGTTATCTTGGGTATAAGCCCAATATAGTATTTCGCCCATAGGCCCAGCAATGGACAGGACCGGCCCTGGGCGTTGATTTGGCCTTTGTTTCTCCGATGAGTGAGGACAAGGTTGATCGCCTGTTTCGACGCTCAAGAAGCAAAGGGATGGAGGGTGATCGAGCAGGGGAGAAGCTGGATACGATTGGCAGGTTCACGGCGGCCATATTAGGAAGCAGCACGGGCGACGAGCAAACGGGGAGAGGTAAAGGGATGAACAAGGGACAAGACAGATCGACGATTTCCCCCCTCTTGAACCGCCGCCTTAGAGTGATCGAGGTACTAGAGTTTGGAAGATGATGTTTCAAGAAAATTGGGAGGAAGGAGTTTAAAGTTTTTGTCAATTATTTACTTATTTTATTTCTTATGGCCTTATTTTCGCATTGTGTTTGTTTACTTTGTTTAATTTGTTGTTGATGTGTTTAGTTTTAGGTCTACATGACAATTCTGCTAGCTATTATGTTGTTAGAAGGATCTATATATCCAGTGATTTTTGTATGACACGCATGTAGGGGTTAGTGATTCGTATTGCTCTTTCGGGGGTGATCGATTATATATCTAACAGTATGATTGATAGGTAGTTGTTGTTGATGTTGCTCTCTTTGAGTTTGATGTAATGATATGAATCCTAATGATATTGATATGGGGAAATTCCTAAAGTAGGACTAAAAAAGTTTGAAAATTCCAAAATATGACTGTCATGTTTTTATTCTCAAAATAGGAGTAATTACTGCCAAGTTTGGAAAATACTGTCATGTTTAAAGTCGGATACTGCCAAAACATGACAGTAATTCGTCCTATTTGGGAATAAAAACATTACAGTCCTATTTTGGAATTTACAAATTTTTCTAGTCCTAATTTTCCAATTAATATAAGCGATTTTTCTTTCCAACCTCATTTCACTCGAGACCATGTGTCTTCCAGCTTCCAGTAGCACTACTCCATAGGTGCTTAATTAGAGTATTACTCTGAACTGTTTAGGCATATTAGAGCCTGTGTGGTAACCATGTTTTTCGGCTTATCAAGCTTATCACCCAATATTTTCACCAAACGCGTAAATTTTGATTTTGCACGATTGTGTGATAATAAAAAAGTAAGATTGTACTTACTTTTCTGACTGTAGTGACTGAAGTTACTGTAGAGGACCATTTTAGCTACTATATTTTTCATATGATTGTTTCTTTATTTTATTAAAAAAAATATTTTCAATATTTTTTATAAATAAGCAGAATCATCAAATACAGCTCCTTCGACCAGAACTTTATAAATTTAAGCAAAATCAACAAATTCATCCGATTTTGGCATTACCAAACGGGCTCTTAGATTATTACTTTAGCAATTGAAAGGTCGTTTGTTAGTTAATTATTACTCATCTTCTCTAAAAAGATGAGTTTGTCTAATTTAATTATTACTCATCTAATGAGTTCGTTGAGAACAATAATATTAGTCATGGACCCGGTTCGGCCCGGGACCGGCCCGGCCCGCTACTGTGCGGAACCGGAACCGGCCCGGGTCGGGCCCAAGCCCGGTGGGGGGGGCGGGTCCGGGCTCGAGCCTTGTATTTGGCGAACCGGTCCGGCCGGGTCGGGCCCGGGCTCGGGCCGAATTGCTTTTTTTTTTTTTTTCATTTTTTGGGGTTACCCGGGTTGGGCTTGATGGTTAGGAGGGGTTTGGGGGGTTTGGGGGGGGGGTTAGGAAAGCAAAAAAAAATGACCAAACCGGAGGCCCGGCCCGGCCCAGACCCGGACCGGACCTGGTGGCTACCCGGGCCGGTCCCGGGCCTTCCTTCCCAAAAAAAGCCCGGCCGGGCCCGGAACCAGAACCGGCCCGGCCCGGGTCCATGACTAAATAATATGTTGCCCAAATTTAAAATAGAAGGCAATTAGCATGACTTCACTCATCACAATAAGTTGGTCAAGAAAACTAACACACAATATGATTAAGTTTTACAAACCCTCCTAACAGCTGAAGTTTTACTAATTGAAGTTTGGTATTTCTTTAAGAAAGGTTGTAATGTGCAAGATATCCGCATTGGGGCAGTAGGAGTATTGGAGACTTGTAGCACGCCTATCTCAATTGGTTTGGGTAACTCATAGTCGAATGCCAAATTAGCAAATTCCAACAAATTAGTCTCCAATAGAAAAAGTTATTGCACAATTCAGGTTTTACAGAGTCAGTCATTCATAGTAGGAATAACAACATTCCTCCACTAATATTAGACGTAGTAGTTATTAGCCACATTAGCATCAACAACAAAACAATACTTTATTATACTGTAACTTGATAAAGTTTGTAGTGAAACTACTGCCTACCCATAATTGGCTACGCTATCCAGAAATCATTGATTTAATTGAAATGATAGAAAATGCCAAACACAATGCCTACACTGCCAATCACAAATTCCAAACATCATTCAATATTCAAAATTCACAACCGTCATTTCAACGTTTGTGGGAAGTTCCAAAATCTGTTTACTAGATTCAGAGTCGAGGTCCTTTATGACAAACTTCACAAGTGTTGGAAAGGAGGAAAGTAGCCCCTTGACCAAAGGCAGATAATTCTCACATGCATCAAAGAAATCAATACTCAAAGTGTGAAGCAAGTTGTGTGTTTCTGCCACACGATAAAGTTCCTTTGAATTCTCCGACTTTGTGTCTAAACAATCTCTCAAAGCTTCGACAAACTTCAGAAAGTGCAAAAGAAAGAAAACGAAGAAATCCTCAATGAGCCAATGTTCACAACAAAGTAAATTAACAGATGCGTGACAATAATATTGGGAAAACTAGAATATTATTTGCCTAAGAAAAAAATATTACCGCCATATCCATATGAATTTCATGAGACTTTGGACATAATTTCAACAAATGAATGAAGGCAGAAGAAGCATCATCTTCATTATATGGATTTGATAAATAGAGGTACTCCACATTTAGTTCATGTGGTTGTAGTTGTGGTCCACTGTTTGGGAAGTCTTCAACAAATTTCTAAGAAACCAACAAACACTGTCAGATAGTGCCTACCAGTGCCTACCAGGCATTCTAAATAAATGTGTAGTCCAGAGTAGTTGAAAAAGAATTAGACTAACATACCTTGAGGGAAAGGGCATCTAAATCAAGAGAAATAACAGATCCCAAATCCAAGTGAACTGGGAGAAAACCACTGCACTGCTCATACCAACAAGAATGAATCTTTAAGTCAAAGAGTTTCGGTGCAGTAATGTTAAAACTGAACATGTTATCACATCCGATAAGCAACAGTCTCTCGAGCATAGGAACATTAACCCTGTAATCTAGAGCATCATTAGGCTCGAATTTAGAATTTACAAAAGCAAGTGAGGTGGCATTTGGTAATATGCAAGGCATATTTAATGGTTCAACAGAGACTCCGTGGATCCACAATCTCTTGAGTGTTGGACAAGAGAATATGCATTTAGGCAGCGAGTATTCATCTTTATCTACTAGAAAACGAATATCGAGTTGTTCAACACCTTTTTGTGTGACCAAAAGGAACCATTGATCAATTTCAAATGCCCGTGATGTAAGCGAACTCCTCCCATGATGAATAAATGAAAATTCAAATTTGCGAATATGACCATTGTGCTGCATAAGAACTTTGTTGACTACATGCATTCCAGCAGAGGTCAAGACATCACTATTTATTGTTTCAGATTTTGTTGTTTTGGTCATGAGGTCACTGTGAGCAGATGAATATTTCCTCTCAATGTAATGAAAGAAGTTACAATCAAATTTGAGATCCCTAATATTGAACCACATCTGTCTCCAGAAGTTAGATAATATGGCCATTCTAGCAGCTTCTTGAATGGCCAATAATCCCAATATGCTTTCAAGTATTTCCGTAGGAAGCTGACTGAATCTATCCATCCTTCTAGTAGCCATCATCCCAGCAGGAGCTTGAATATATGCAATTAAAGAACAAATACATTAAACCTAATCCACGACGATACAGCGAACTAGGATATGGCGATTAAAGTAGCCTCAATCACATTTAAGATGTTAATAATGGATATCAGTATGAATATGAACAAAGGAGAATGCAAAATATAGATAACTACGCATTTGTTAGCTTTCGGAACTAAGTAACAAATTAAAGAGTGAATCCACTCACATGTACGAGGCTGTGTCCTTGAGTTTAAAAAGAGCTTAACCACAGCGGCAAACCATTACTCAGTACATCAATAGCTAGGGCGAATCTGGGAATAACTGGTGGGGAGTGGAGACAGCGGACATAAATTAATTTTTCTTTTGAAGAGAAAAGCTTAAATTTTACTCCCATTTTATAAAATATCTTTACTATTCACTCATAAATCACTCTTAATCTCTTACTTTATATATCAAAAATTTATGAAACTTGAATTACTTTTTGCAGGTTTTGTGGCACTTTTTTGAGTGTAGACAGGGATCCGTTTGTTTTATCATCAGTCAAACATCATAAATCGAAAAGTATCTTTTTTTTTTGTGGATGAAATGTAAATATATATTAACACCCAGAAAAACTATACATCACATGTCCTAGATCTCCTAAAACCTCCCCCATAACCACATAATGTGGGGGTGAAAGGAGGTTTTTATTCGATCTATTCTATGCCAAAAATAACCAGGTAAAGACAACCCGCCCCATCAAGAAGTTCAAAATACATCGGTGCTGCAGATGCACGCACACAGATCAGAGGCTAAATTCTAAGAAAAGTACAAAAGGTGCTGGTAAGACACACACCAAAATATCAAAGACCGTGCTACATGCCGCGGCATCCATAATGTTCATGCCACGTTGTACGAAGAGCCCAAGCCGCGGCATCCATAATGTCCACGCATCGGCGCTCCAAGTAAACATGTATCGGTCAACACAAAAACCGCGGCCTCCATAATATCCAACCCCGGCCTTCTACTCAGAAAGTGATCAAGTCATGCGGGTATAAATTGAAGAGTATTTTATACACCACATGCTTGATTTTTGCAATGACTTCCTCTTCCTTCACATCCTTTTCATCAAATCGATTGGCGTTTCTAGCGTGCCAGAGGTAGTAAACCGCAGCACCAAACGCAATCCGGACAGCCTTCCCTTTGATCTTTGAACCCTTATGATCTTTCAAGATCCATTTCACGGCGCTGCATAGTGTGGTCATCTCTCGAGTCATGCCCAACCATTCCTTAATTTTTTTCCAAACCCTACAGGTGTAATGACAACGGAAAAATAGGTGTGGTATTGTTTCCAATCTACCCTTGCACAGGTCACAACGGTTAACAATATGGAGGTAACCAAGGCTGTCCTGCGTAGGTAGCCGGTTCCTCATAGCAAGCCAAGCGTTGAATGAGAACTTCGGAGGGATATAAGATTTCCAAATAAAGCTCATCCACACTCTCGGCGTCCCTTTAAATCTTAGCAACTCATAAATCTTTCCAGAACAGAGTTTACCATTTAAGGATCTACTATTTAGGCCCATAATGGTATCATTCAGATTGTTAAAACACCCCAAGATTTGGTCCCGAATGTGACTCAGTTTCTTCATGAACATTGAGTCACGATTGTGTGGGATAAAATCCCACACGCTCCTACCTTTAAGGTAGACCCCATTTACCCACCTTACTCATAGGGTATCTTTTTTCCTATGGACATCCCAAAGTGTTCGAGAGAGGAGAGCATGATTCCAGATTTTGGCATTAAGGATGCCAAGGCCCCCCTCCTCTTTTGGTAGACAAATGTCATCCCAAGCCACTTTGGAATATTTCCCACCCCATAGAAAAATTCGACAAATAGAAACAATCCTATCTAGGATTGTTTGGGGGACTGGGAAGACCTGGAGCCAAAAAGATTGGACCCCTTGGATCACAGATCTTATTAGCTCGAGTTTTCCGGCATAGGATAAGGTCTTCGTGTTCCAAGCCTTTAAAAAATCCGAGATTGTGTCAAGCAGCGGTGAATACTGTGCCACAGAAACCTTAAGAGGGGCAAGTGGAATTCCAAGGTATTTCACCGGGAATGTGCCACGCCCAAAATCCACAAGGGCCATGATCTCCTGGAGATCATTTTCATTAACTCCCCCTACGAAAATATTCGACTTCTCATGATTCACTTTAAGGCCCGACGCATCCCCAAACTCTTCGAGGGCTTTGACGAGTATTTCAATTGAATACGTGTCTCCCCGAGAGAAGAGTATTAAGTCATCTGCATAGGCCAAGTGTGTCACTCCAAGTTTCGCACATTGGGGGTGAAAATTAAAATTTGGCCCTTTGGTTTTTAGATTAATAAGTCGGGAAAAATATTCTAAGCAAAGGACAAATAGCAACGGAGACATTGGATCTCCTTGCCGGATACCCCTCTTACCCTGAAAAAAACCGTACAATGAACCATTCAAAGAGACGGAGAAAGAAGCCGTGGTTACGCACTCCATAATCCATCCAATAAATCTAACGGGGAAGCCCAAACCCCTTAGAACACTCTCGAGAAAGCTCCAAGAAACAGTATCATAGGCCTTGCGCAAATCCACCTTGATCATACATCTAGGTGAGATCCGTTTCCTCATGTATCCCCTAACAAGTTGTTGGGCTAGAAAAATGTTATCAAACATGAGGCGGCCATCAACAAAAGCACCTTGGGCTAAATCAATCAAGCCGGGGAGGCATGGAGTGAGTCTAGCCGCAAGGATTTTTGTAATAATTTTATACATCACATTTGTACATGAGATTGGTCTATAGTCCGAGACCTTCGGTGAGTGATTCTTTTTTGGGATAAGCGCAATAACCGTGTGGTTAATTTGCTTTAGTAACTTTCCCGAACGGAAAAACTCTTTGACGGCCTGGACTATGTCATGCTCAATAAGTTCCCAATTAGATTTAAAAAATGCAGATGAATAACCATCCGGTCCCGGTGCCTTATCATTGCCGATGTCAAATAGAGCATTTTTAATCTCTATTGTCTCAATCGGCGCAAGCAGGCTGTCATGGAAACTAGGTTCCACCAGGGGACCGGATCCCAACACCATGGGATCAAAATGATGGCATTCGGTACCTGTACCAAACAAATCAATAAAAAATTTTACAAACTCATCACCAACTTGCTCTAAAGATGTAGTAAGACTACCATCTTCAAGAGTGATAGAAGATATCGAATTCCGCGTGGCGTTCCTCTTCACGATCGCATGAAAATACCTTGTGCCTTTATCTGCCTCCAGGATATGGTTCGCCTTTGCCTTTTGTTGGTAAAAGCTTGTTTCCGCTTCACTAAGAAATGTGGCCCGAGCCCTTTTCTCCTTCAATTGACGTAGGAGTTCGGCATCCGATGGAGATTGGAGCACAAGGTTTTGAATTCTTTTAAACTCTTCTTTAGCCGCTTTAGCTTTGCTAGAAATGTGCCCAAATTCCCTTTCGTTCAGTTTCTTAAGAGGCACTTTTAGCATCTTCAATTTTCTCACAAGTATGTACTGGGCCGAACCACCAATTTCTTGATGCCAAACCTGTGCAACTATGTCAGAAAAGTTCGCGTGCTTAATCCACATGTTAAAGAATTTAAATGGCTTTGGTTTAGCAAAGGAATCATGGAGTATAGAAAAAACGGAAGCCGAATGATCAAACTCCACCTCTATATCAAAGAAGTGAGCCTTACATCGAAAGCCATTTTGTCCCCAAACATCATTAATTAAGACACGGTCAAGCTTCGCCCAAAGAATGCCCCTATTCCAGGTATGGAAAACACCCGTAGATGGGGCATCCTGGAGGTTAGCCGAGACCAAAAAATCACTCAAGTGTTGCATAACATATGCCGAAGGAGGGGTAGGACCCACTCTTTCATTTGGCAAGCAAACACAATTAAAATCACCACAAATTACCCAAGGGTCGGAAATAGAAACTCCCAAAACCATTGAGTGGTCCCAAAGTTCCTTCCGCTCCAACACAGTATATAAATTAAAGGATAAACAAAGGTAGCATATATAATAGTTTGGGTCACCCGGCAAGTACATTTAATATGCATATGTTGTTTATCTATTTCCAAAAAATTACAAATCACAAAATCCGGGTTCCAAATAATACCCATACGGCCACCCTGAATAAACTGAAAATTAGTTTCGAGCAACCAGCCCGGCCACACATTTGAAACATATTTATTAAAACTGTCCAGGTTCATTTTTGTCTCTAAACAACAAAATAAATTTATATTGTTAATCCTAATAAAGTCCTTAATAGTGTTATGCTTAGAAGGTTTTTTCAAACCCCTAACATTCCAAGTTGCTATTTTAAACATCATGTTAAATAAACAGGCCGAAGTACACACAAACGCATTAAGAGAGATAAAGGTCTGATGAGAAAACCTCATCTTCGGGGTGAATCAAACCTTTTTCCTTCTTTTCTTTTCTAGCCCTTCTCCTCATTTCTTTCAAGTATTTCTTATTCCTGTCCAGGTTAGGATCAAAGAAAGATAATACACGAAGGATAAAGGCAGGTTTATCAAAGTCATACCAGTCGCCATTCTTTTTTACCTCCGGGCAGCTAAGTAGGAAGTCTTCGGTGAAGTTAACTCCATTATCGTCGCCCTTTAGGTCTTCCAGTTCCGGTCCAAGCTTGACGATGGTAACTCCCTTCGGTATTTGGTGTGTTTCCCATGCATAGGCAACTGTTTTACCTCTCTCATTCACTTCAAGCATGGTAATCACATCATCATAACCCATTTCGTACATGTTTGTCACCAAATAACCTTTACCTCCATTAATTTGCTTATCCCCACGGGTTTCAACAAAAGGAATAGAGGTGGAGGCATTCTCCTCAATGCTAGCCAGTCTTCGGGAATTCCAATAGTCAATATTAATTTTAGCCTGCGGGTCAAAGAAGCAACCAACATTAAGATAAAAAATTTCTTTATTAAAATTGTACCATCTCAGAGTTCTCTTGACCCCAGGCAGTGAAACCAAGCATGGATCTGTGAAAGAGATAGCAGGTACATTGAGATCATCCTCCCTTTGGAGATTTCTTCCAAGCCTTGCCACCACAATGTAGCTCTTGATTTGATGCCTTTTCTTCACAAAGGCCACGTGCGCCCCATTTTCATTTGTGATGAATTTGTTGACAATATCATCACTCTCCAATTCATGAATGCTCTCAACCTTTCGGCCTTCCCAGTCAAATATTTCAGCAGAATCCGAAGTTTCCTCAGTATAAGGAACCCAATCAGAGGAGCTGGCAGAATTATTAGCGGCTGGTTTGGCAGTAGAAGTGTTCATTTTTGGAGCACTGGATCCAGCAGGTTTAGGGGCAGCAGTTGTCTTGTTTCCAGCTTTCCCAGTAGGCTTCATAGTGCCTTTCGGTGGCTGCTTGTTAGGTTGTATCCGAGGAACAGGTCTGGATGTTGAAGCCATGTTTGAGTTCAGTTCCTTTCTCCCATGGTTTACAAGTCTTTTGTTACTAACCTCCACAAAAGGAGGTTCATCTTCCAGAACATTTTTTCCCTTATCAACAGCCACGGTTATCACTTTGAGCTTCTCTTTTGGAGGGTTAAGCACCAAGCAAGTGAAGGGATGATGCCCGTATTTTTTACAATGATAGCAATACTCCGGGAAGGTCTCATAAACTACATGTTACAAATATTCCCTACCCGAGGGGGGTACAATGGGAAATTGCATCACCGGGGCCTTAGAGATATCCACTTCAATGAGAACTCTTGCGAAATGGGTGTAGACCGTGTCCTGTGTGACCTTATCAGTGGTGATAGGCACACCAATTTGGGAGGCGATCATTCCCAATTCTTTTGCCTTCCAAAGCCGCATGGATAAGTTAGGGAATTTCACCCAAATAGGCACCTTTAGAAACTCCTCTCCATCGCTAGAGAAATCTTCAGAAAGCTCTTTGAGGAACATAGTTTTGCCATACAGAATATAAGGCCCCTCGGCAAGCACACGCATTCTGTCTTCCTCAGATTTAAATTTGAAAATGACCCAACCCTTACTGTGAGATTTAACCTCCACAGCCACTTCCCAATTTGTAGTCATTTCATGAATGGCCTTGAGGCCTGGAAATCTGCCAGAGAAGTGCCCAACCAAGCAATAGCCCCACACTTCAATCAATGTAGGTACCTGGAGATGTGAGAAGTCGAGTTTTTCCCCGGTAGGTGGAAAATATTCTAGTTTAAGGCCACTAGTAGGAGCTCGATTGTCTCGGAATAATGAATTCCACTTCTTGGGTTCACTGTCAGGAGCAGCATTTTCATCAACTATCTTCAAAGGCAGTGTATCATGTGACCCTAGAGAGATAGAGTTCTCGGGTGCCACTTGACTGCCTCCATCTGTTTCATCCGAGACCTCAAGTATAGGTTCTTTCCCCGGTTTAATAGTCAGTGAAAACTCAGGTTGTGTTATAGCATTTCATGCGGCTGATCCCATATTACGTTCGGTATCATGGGAGCCAAGAGTGATAGACCCCTCGAGTTCCTCATTGTCCCCAACAAGATTTTCATCCAATATTTCAAATAGGGGCCTCTCCCTTTCATTCACAGTTTTTAACACAAAGGAACCCTCCTGTGTTGGTGCGGATTTGGAGGAGGCAGAACCCAATCCCAATAATTTCTCACCAAAAGACATGCCCACACCCGAGCCCTGTGATGCCGCAGCATTGACAGTATGTGCCACGGTTTTGTGCGGTTGCCCTCCAGTTGGTGTAGCACCGTTGTTCACAAGCCCTCCAATTTCAGTAGACGCTCCGGCATTAGAGGATGCCTCCAAAGTGGAATTTGAGGAGATAACAGGAATATCATGTGGTAAGACCTCCATGGCCCCCTGTGAAGATTCAGTTTGTACCGCGGCATGAAACTCCATAGAGTTAGAGGATACAACCGGGAAGGATGAAGGAGGACTCTTCATCAGGGAACCCTTCTTCTTCTTGAATTTCTCCTCTTCCATGGCAGCTTTCTTTGCAGCAAGGTATTTGATTTTCTCCTCAAAACTCTTGTCTTTAGCCGGCGGGGTTCGATGTTGCTTGTTCTTCCTCGTCATAGTTCAACCGAAGAAGGGGATGAACATTGATCCTTCCTAAATTGCTCCAAAAATTCTGGAAATAGTATATAGTGTACTCCAAGATATGTGGAAGCTAATGGTATGCTCCGTTTGACCAAAGGATAAGTGAGGAATTCAGAAAAAATTCCTAACTAGTCCTGGGTTCGTAGGAAACACTGTAGCTTGCAGTCTTGAGGTAGAAGACAGTGAACAGTACCCACTTCACAAGAAACAGCTCAGAAAATTCTGACAAAATAATATGATGTGCTCCTGAAGATGACGATCCCCACCCTATGCTTCGTTTGAATCCAGACCTACACAAACTCAAGAAATAAAATGTTAGCTATGTCATACCTGCGCATAAGTGAACAGGCCGATGAACAGTAGCTTCAATTTGATTTCCTTCGTTATAGTAGCTCAGATGGGTATCAAAATGACCGCAAGGAACAGACGATCCTCAGAGCAGGCTTGGATTACAGAATAAACAGGAGAGTTTGTAGAAATCTGGAAAAAACCCAACTGCAGTGAACAGTGGTCGAAGAAAACGGCTAGTTGATAATTCCCAATTAATGGAGTTTCAGGCAGCAAGACCTATATCCCTGGGTTCGCCAAGAGATGGAGACCCCCAAACAAAGCTCTTTAACAGCAACCAATCGTCCAATGAGAAATGCTAGAGGTACACACTTTGTGTACACACTTTGTGTACACTCGTCTGTCTCTTAAGAAAATTTTGTCTGTCACAGACAATTCATATATGAGTTGTCTGTGACAGACAAAATTTTCTTAAGAGACAGACGAGTGTACACAAAATGTGTACACAAAGTGTGTACCTCAAGCATTTTTGTCGTCCAATTAGGAGCTAAGCTAAAAAACACTTCTGCGATGAACAGTAATTTCTGCGAGCAGAAAATTAAAATTCGAACTTGTTCTGCTACAAAAATCACCAACTTTAATTTCCAATCGGTAGCTATTAAAGGAGATGAAATTCCGAGCAAGAAACAAGAAACAAAACAAAGATTAATCGAAGGATTATGAGTGAAGGAGCAGTTCAAGATCGCGAGCAAGCTAGAGAATTCCGACCGTTGGAGGTGCGAAATTTTCTAGAGAGAAGTCAAAGGATTCCCAACGCGTGATTTTTTTCGAAAAGTATCTTATAATTTGGGACGGAGGGAGTATGATTCAAGAACCAAATATTGGAACTTGGAAGACATAAGAAAATCTTGACCTCACCTCACTGTGAAGGATTTGGGCACAAACTTATAGCTATAGCTAAATGAAGTAGATTTCTTTGTCTCATTCGTATCCCTTATTTGTCTCATTTTAGGCTTTTCACCTATTGGTCATCGCATTAAATTTATCTCATATACTTAGGGGTGCTTCGGTACGGTATAGTGGTATACCGAATATATTCTCTCATACATTTGTCGTACCAAAACTTTCGGTTTACAAGATTTATATATCGTTACATTACCGAAGTTTTGATATACCGCATTTCGGTATACCGAAGTTTCGGTTCGGTAATAGACTAACGGTACAGTAAATTACCATGCATGTCTCTCAATACAACAAATTATCATAGACTAACAAAATATAGAGAATCTGTGTTAATTAGCAACATATTTAGTACATTATTAAAATGTTATAAAATACAAATAATAATTTATTGATGTCATATTCAGTATTTTGTCTCAGCCTTACGCCCTTACATATACTTAATATCTAAATTGATGAATAAAAAATAGGACTACTAAAAGAATAAGTTGGTTAAAATTTACTAGGAGTGAATAGGTCATATTTTAATAAAAATTACTGTAAAAGTATAACATTGCATATATAATACTCCGTATAAATATACTTGCCAAGCAAACATTTCATCACACTGCCTTAATAAGCTACTACTCCGTTCCTGGAAAAAACTTTCAAGTTTCCTTTTTGGGCGTTCCAAAAAAACTTTCATTTTTCCATTTTGATAAAGAATTTGTGGTTTATAGCAATTCTTATACACTATTACACATTTATCTTTCCTATACACAACTATACATCACACAATACACACTATCTTAATCCTGTGCCATTTGTACTGTGGAAGTAAATTTAGAGATGAAGGGAGTATATCAGTTTCAGGACGAGTGCAACACACCAATATAGAGGGAAAGAAGTACGGAGTAATAAAGAACTAATTTAATTGTTATGGAGACGCGAGGAAATCCTACACTATTAATTGTCCTGACAAACATTTATTCCCCCTTAAAATTCACCCGACCACCCATTAATTTATCCGATCTATCGTTAACTTTCTCGACCCATTGTTAGTTTCTCGAAGCACCGTTAATTTCCCCAACTCACCATTAATTCTTTGACCCACAGTTGATTTTCCGGGTCCATCATTGATTTCTCCGAGTCATTTTTAATTTCCCTATCTCCATAGCTACTTTTTTCTTTCTGGAAAAACATATCGAAGTGATAAGCAGGAGAAGAAGGGAGCACTACGGGTAAAATAGGAATCTACGGGAAATTGTCAAACGGCCGTAAACGAAACGCTACTTTTATTGGCATTTTGTATTTTGGCTGTTTGAGATAAAAAGTCAAATGAAGAAGTCAATTAACCAAACACCTTTGTTAGCTGTTTATTTGGTCAAAAAACCAAACATTAGTCAAATCAACCAAAAAATGGTTGATAGGTTGGATTATTCATGAATAACAAAAATGTGGAACTATTGTAAGAAGACTGCTATAAGGTTGAATTATTAGTTTCCATTTTCTCTTTGAATTATATGTAAGCCGCTTTCATCCAAAAAAATAGACCTAAACGTTACCTTTCTACCCATATTTTAATGAATTAATAAATTAATTAATATAATAATTGCTTCCCAAGTTCTCTTGCATAACCAAGGTCAATCCGTTGGTGACGGCGGCGGAGTCAGAATTCAGGCAAAATTTGGGCAGAATTCGGGCAGATTGCGGAGTCAGGTTAATTAGTGCTACCGTTCATAAAGTACTATTTATGATAGTAAAAAAACTAAAATGGGAATAAATAGAAAGTTAAAAAATATTCAAAATCTAAATAAATACTCGTACAATCTATATAAAGCATGAAAATATCCAAAATTTAAAATTATAAAGTAAAATAAAAATAATAATTACTAAATTTTAAAAAAATCAGAAAATTAATCTAAACTCTAAAGAATGTAAAATATCTAAAGCTCGAAAAATAAGAATGTGAATTGTGAAAATATTTAAAATATCAAACGTGCAGAAAAGTTTTTAAAGGGTAAAATATTTAAATATGAACTTTCTATTTTTTTCCTTCTTAAAAATAGTTAAAAGAAATTGAATTATTATCAACTACTCTCTCCGTATCAATTTAATTGACTCATTTGCTTTTCACGCAGGTTAAGAGAATTACTGTAGACTTTATTAAAAGTAAGAGATTTTTGGTACTGTAGCGACATTGTAGCGGTACTGTAGCAGTACTGTAGTCGCTTTTTGAGTGGGATTCTTTCCAAAAAGGGAAAGAGGTCAATTAATTTGATACCCCAAAAAAGGAAAGTGGGTCAAGTAATTTGATACGGAGGGAGTAGTTGTTATACTTTAGCTTATTGTTTCTTTGTGTTTCTTTTTGTTGATAACTATATTATTGATTTTTTGTTGTTTCTTCATGTTTCTTCACTTGTAAAACATTCATAATTTATACCCAAAATATCATTTTAGATGTTTGTGTGTGTATGTGTGTGTGTATATTGATTTTTGTTTTTTATTTCAAAGAAATAGCAAAGATAAAAAGAAACCTAAATATACAAAAAAAAAACTAAAATCAACAAAAGTAAATAGGCAACACAATGCAACAAAAGGCCCAATATAAAGCAAAACGATGCAACAAAAAAGTAACGGTTGATGCAAAAAATATGAAACAAAAACAAACATAAAAGTACCACAACAAATATATTGTTCATGTGCTTCTTTTTCAGTTAAATACTTGTAATGAGAATACATGCAATCACTTAGATATCTGAGAATCAATTATTACATTGACTCAAATAAGCAAAAAAGAACAAATTGATAACTTACCCTCTGCTCCTTGTGGCATGATAGACTTTGGAAATATCCTGCAATCTCAGACTTCTTCTAGTTTTGCACTTCTAGTTCTGCAGTAGCGCCAACCACGGATCTCGAGTATGACTTCTTATTGTTGCATATCCTCGTCTTATATAACTGCTTCTCGCTGCTTCATTCAAGTGAGCTTGATAGGTTTTAGCCAAGTGTGGAAGTATGTTTTAAATTTTGAATTGCAAAACAATAAAAATGGAATACAAAATAAACTGACCCCCTTCCCATTGCCACAATTTAAGGAAAATATATTATAAAAACTTACAAACCATTGATTTTCATACAAACTGGAGTAAATTATGTCCCTTGTGCATTAATCTCTAAAAACGCAAATATCTAGCTACGAATGATTAGAGCTGGATTCAATTCGGGTCCCAAACCGATTCAGTGTACCAACCCAATATTTCGGTTTGCTAAAATGGAACAACCAAAACAGAACCATTATAAGAACGGGTACCAATTGAAAAGCAAAAACCGATTCAATTGTAATGTATAAATTTGAACTTCGCAATTCTTGAGCCCCATTAACGAACGGTATTCATAGATATATACTGGAATGTATTTTAGTCTTTAACCTTAAGGGGATCTGGTTTTTATAAAGGTGTATGGAGTAGGAAGCTACTCATTTCCGGTGTGGGACAAAATAGAATAGGAAAGAAAACACATTTTTTCTGAACGAGGAAAGAAAAGAAAACACATTTTAAAAAGAAAAATTCCTTTTGTACACGTTTTTGTACCCATCAGTACACGCATGTGTCTGTGAGAGTTTTTTTTTGTCTGTGAAGTGCGGTTCACAGACAAAAGCTGGTTTGTTTTGTCTGTGAAATTTTCCACAGACAAAACAAGCCAACTTATGTCTGTGGATCGCGCTTCACAGACAAAAAAAAACTCTCACAGACACATGCGTGTACTGATGAGTATAAAAATGTGTACACCAAGAATGGTTGTTTTAAAAAACAAACTTTTGCACCACCCGGGAATCGATCCCAAGACCATTCTATAATGGTAATATTGTACTATTGTAGTAATATGGTACACGCGGTGTCCGACCAGCTCCGCTACTCTTCAAGTTTGTATCATTAATCATTACTAGTATAACACCTGTGCGATGCACAGTGCATAAAATGATTCAAATATTACATAGTATTTTAACATGTATCCCATGTCGTAAACAATAAAGATGTTAAAATAAAATGCATAATGAGGGAACAAATGTAATATTACAAAAGCATTTATCTAAGAATCCTCTGTATAATATAAGTTTGTTATATATATATGATTCAAAAGTAGAGATAATGAAACTCTTTAGATGATATTCGTAATTTTTCACTAGAAATGTCATCAAAGATTTTAAGACTTTGCATGATTTTTACAATCCTTTGACACTGCAGTATACGGTTCTTAATGGTGAAAAATATATTTTCAATAAGAGACCGGTATGATCTAAAGTATATGTTTAAAGTATAATAGTACAACACATACCGATATATGGTGAAAATGGATTTACAAAACATTATTTTTTTTTACCCCGGAAGGCAAACCACCAAAATCAGTGGGGCAAATGCCGGGGAACATTTTCCGTTATTTTATTAACCAATAGATATGGATACCAAAGAGGGGGGATTTACAAAACATTATATGCATTCAATATCAACCATATAATCTCACTTTCTTTAATTATATGTCCGAGTTAGTGATATAGAGGTAGTATAATTTTCCATAATCTTAACACCTATGCTAAGATTTATAAGGAAAATCCAAGGTCATTTGAAATTGTTAAAATCATAACACTAAAATAAAATTTCACAATTTGAAACCAATAATTTATAAAATTAAGTTTCATATTATCGAAATTGAAAGATTATAGGGAACATCAAACTTTTAGTCCCTGAAATAGGCACGAAAATGAAATGCCGGACTTGTATTCCCAAGTTTATAAATGTTATCCCTCAATTGTCCTAAATGCCGTAAATATGGTCCTTTGAGGGGTGAACTATACAATGTGGCCGAGAGTACATTTCACCCCTTAAAGGATCACATTTACAATAATTTGAACAATTGAAGTGTGACATTTACAATATCAGAAATACGGATCTGCCATTTCATTTTCGTGACTATTGTAGGGACTAAAAATGCAATTTTCCCAAGATTATAAATACTTCTTTATTACTAACATTAATAGTTTTATCTTCACTTGCAATAAGTATTTTGAGACCAATATCATTTGTAACTTCTAAAACAATAATTCTAGTAAGATATAATTAGGCACAAATTTCTTCAATGAAAGACCAATATAAGAGAACAACATACCTTGATAGTTATTGATAATCAATGCATATACTCTAAAAAAATCACAATCAATTATGTTGTCTTTGAAATCTAATATCTTCCTCCGTTTTTAGTTGCAACAGATCACTTTGCATATTTATCAATGCACATCTTTGACCGTCAATGTATCATATTCTCTAGCAGTAAAATAATTCTAATAAAGCAATCAATAAAGTAGAACATGTGAACAATGTAAAATTTAACATGTTGCAGGTAATAAGAAATGGAGGAAGCATAACACCTAATATTAGGTGTTAGGAATTTTTTTGGCATTAAAAATTTTTTTCCTCCATTAGAAGGAAATATGGATCCATTAATTGAATCAATATGCTAAGATTTTTTTTGCTACTCTTATTTTAAACTAATCAATTACTCGTAATTTTTTTACCAAACACGTAGCTTTTAATTGTCTTAAGGGATAAATAAGCTCCTGTATCGGTTGTGTAATCTCAATTCAATCTTTGAACTAAAAAAGTCCAATTCACACTCTGAGCCGTTAAATGTGTCCCGAATTTCATTTTCACACGTAACCAACGGGTCACCCGTCATGTCACCGGTCGATCTGATTGCGACGTGTGCATCTGAAGTTGAAACTAAAAGCTCAAACAGGTCTTTGAACCCGTCACACTTGATCAAATCTCCCATAAACTATTAAAAAGTGTCAAAATTGTAATAAATTGAAAATTAAAAATAGAAACAACAAAAAATCAACAACAAATATAAATATGAAAAACAGTGAAACATGACATCAGTTTAATTTCATACTAAAATTGGCTGAATTGGAAGATTCTACTGATTGATTTATGAAAAAACTATATTTAAAAAATCTGTTACTAATAAATAAAGTAAAAAGTTATATGAAAAAGTTGATAAAATGATTCTCTACAATAACTTCAGCCAATGAAGCAAGAAAAATAACTTTAGGCTTACTTATTATTATTGTTACACAATTTAACGCACCAAATCAAAAGTTACGTATTTGACGAAAAAGATGACCGATAAGCCTCATAAGCCAAAAATTTGGAGATATGACTATGTCAGAGTAAAATTTGGTTCTTATACCCATAATAAAATTATGGGTATAAGAACTATTTAATGTATGCAAAATTATGATATGCTGTACACAAATACGTAACTTTTGATTTCACACGTTGTATTGTGTAATAATAAGAAAATGTAAAGTTAGAGTTACCTTTCCTGCTGTACATAAAATATATTTCTAAACCTGGCAATATATATATATATATATATATATATATATATATATATATATTTGTTTTAATATAATTTTTTTCATAAATTAGCAGAATCAATCAATGCAGACACTTCAACCAAAACTTCGTAAATTTAATAGGGTCTTTTACGATAACCACAATGTTATAGATGTATTATTTTTAATATTTGATAATTATATTGTCATTTAAGAGGGTTATTTTTTTAAAAAAATAGAAATGAGATCTTTATGAGATTGGATGGAGTAATTTTCATTCAAAACAAATAAAATAAATTAACCCATTCTATTTAAACATGCCTGGAATAGAAGCCCACTGGTTGTTACCATGCGAAGCCCATCCAATAGCCCAGCTTATTATACCATGGAATCCCTCCCCAGAAGGTAACCCTTCTTTCCTTCCCAGCAAACCCAATCGGCCAGGCTCTTTCCTACCATCTGCATCTTCAACATCAGCCGGCGGCAAAAATCAGTTACACTACCCCGATCCATACCGATTCTACGCCACATTATTCAGCCGCCACTCATGAATGAACCTACGATAGTCCTCCGCCACATCTGCCGCTCTAATCTGTATAGAAACGGTAAGAATTCGCTCCTTTCCTCTACTACACTCCTCAATCTCACAGATGAAACTTCACTTAAAACAAACCAATTAGACCTGTACACATATCACCGCATTCACAACCCGAAAATCTAGCAGATCTGTGTATATTACTTCCACAACACTTATTGTTCTTTGCAAAAAAAAATGATTTCGATTATACATATTCTTTCATAAAACATTATCTGAATAATTAATAAGACACAATAACGCTTATGATTTATTAAAATGGATCTACTTATATGCATTAAACCCAAAAATTTTCAGTTCGTATTTTATTTTTTTACCAAAATATCCGAATGTGAAATGACCATGGATGCAACTGATTTTTGTTTTTAATTTAGTTAAAAAGTGTAACTTTTGAATGCCACAACAGATTTTTTAATTCAGTTAACTTTTGAGAAAGTTTAACTTTTAGAAAATCTGTCATTAATTGAGTAGTTTTAAAATAGAGTTGAAAATCAATTTCTAGACAGATCTTAATATTAAATGGGCTGATGTTCGACATTTGTTTGTTTCCAAAACTTTTGTTTAATATTTGGATTTTAGTTTGAAATTGGTACTTTTATAGTTGGTTTGATAATTTTTTTAGGTTAAAGGTGAATGTTGTTTATGAGCTAATGCACTGAGTATATCTATGAGATTTTGGTAGATGCGATATTCTATCAAATGTACCTCTTTGGGTCATCTTAACTCAACTCTTTTTTAATCAGCCTTAGATATGTGTCACTATTTACTTATAATTTAGTGAACCTAATCAAATTGTATACTTTACAAAGCAATTGGAAATTGAAATCACTAACCTCTACTGATTTATATTGATATCTTCATGTGTATCTTCTGGTCTGATCAACGCCTCATGGTGCTTGCAGCTTCGAGAATCCAATAATGCAGATCCTTGTGAAACCTGTATTGGGTATGACAATTTTGTCAATAACTATGATGCTCAGAGTGATGACACCAGTGAATCATTGATAAAATCAATGCCAAGATCCAGGTCCAATTCATCCTGTCTCACTTTCCGTATTCAAAATTTAAATATTATTCAAACATTGGACTACTTATTAACAACTTTTTTACCTGTTCATCAAGAAATGCACATTCAAATGATCAACTTTTTTACCTTCTCATAAAAACATATGCATTCAAATGATGTTAGTTATGGTACATAGTGAAAGCTTGAAACTTGATTAGCAAATTTTATTAGAGCAAAAAATTGATATTTATTTTCATTTATATACTTGTGAAGTGTACAAGTGTATGTATGTGTATGTCTTCAAGTTTTGCAACCTAAAATTAGGGTTTTCTTCTAGTAACCCCCAACCCAAAAACCCTTTCTTCCGACCGAACACCTAACCCACACTCCAAATAGGCAAATACTTACACCTATGTATGTAG